TTTAAAAAAAGTTAAAAAAAAAAGTAAGATAAATATATATTTGAAAGAAAATTAATATAATTAATTCAGTCAAAAATGAATGTTTTGACACCAATTTACATTTGTAGTAGATTTTTGTACAATTGTATGGACTAAAATATAAAAATTAGAACAATTATGAAATTATCAAAACTAAAAGAAATATTGATAAAGAGTTCTAATTATATATTTTGAGTTATAAAATTATGTGAATTGATTTGAGTTAAAGAAATCCAAAAAAAAATGTGAATCCATATTCTTGTATTTCATTGCATCTCTAGCTACATCTTCCAATCCAAGAAAGATGATTACAATGACAATATGATATCGCATAACATAAAAATCATTGTTATCTAAAATAAAACTCAATTAAAAATTAAGAAAATTAATTAAAGCAAATGGTTATAGATTTAAAAATACTATTAACAAATTTATAAAATGAGATAACATTATGTTTAAAATATCATAATAAATGTACTTTTTAATTAGTTTTAATATTGTTTGTATTTTATTTTTTAATAAATAATTAAACAAAAATATGCTTGTATTTTGATTTTGTAATAACGAATAGAAAAAAAATATGACTTATTTAAAAGTTATTCCCGTCATCTTCAAACATACTCATGTAAAAATAAATTTAATATCAATTAAAATGAAAAGAAATCTTATATGAATTTTAATAACAACTACAATAGTACAAAAAATCAATTAATTATTTATCCAAGTTATTAGCACAAACGTGCTAAATTAAAAAATAATGTTGCAAATCAACTGGAGCTCACAAAAAAAAAAAACTATAATCAAATTAAAAATGAATTATAACATCTCATTTTAACATAAAAACTATTAAAGAAAATAATCAATCAAATATTTTTTGAATGATGCCTTAAGTTTGAAAAAAAATGCCAAATTGACAATATCATTGGTAATTCTTTTATAGTTGCTAAATCTTCCTTTGATATCTTCGTCAGTCCATTTCAAATCTTATGAGTAGAGTGATTTTTGTATAAAACATATAAAGAATGAAATCTAATTATTAAAAATCACTATACTCCTAACCAAGACAAATAATTCTACAATAACTATTTCTTGAGACAATCCACATGTCAATTATATAAGCTATTCCCATTAGATAATTTTCTTATTTTGCCTAACGTTTTGGCTTTTATATATTTACTATTTTTACACTTATGCGTTGTACGGATATATAATTATATGTAAAAATTTTAATTATAATATAAGATAAAAATAAAATATTTTTAAATATAAATATAGATAGACATATTTTTATTTTAAATTAAATAAGTACTATTGACCACAATTATGTTTACTTTCAAAATACATAAACTATAAAAAATATATAAGTTCATTTGAAATGTTGCATAAAAAAATAACTTTTCAAAATGTTTTACAAAATTTCAAATGTAGAATGAAAATAATATTAAAAAAAACTTAATAAATTTGTGAATTGTAAAAAGTTACATTCAATTCATATAAGATAATAAAACATATTATATAACTATTCAATTTATTTAAACTTATTCACGTAATCTAAACATATTTGTGTAAAAAAATACAACTTAATATGAAAAAATAAAAGAAACCTTATATGAAATTTAATAAACAATTACTATAGCAAAAAAATCAATTAATAAAACATCGATATTTTAATATAAAATATTGTTTCCTTAGATATAAAAACTAAAATAAAACTACATACATTCATATAATTCCGGATAACTAAAAAAAATTATTTACCAAATTTCATAGAACAAATCTACTACATCAAAAACAAAATACGTCAAGTAATTGCAACTGTCAAAAATAAAAAAATCCACTAAAATGTAAAAGGAAATACAAAAATTTATTTGTAATTCAAAAATAATAATAAAAAAAAACCAATCAAATATTTTTTGAGTGATGCTCTGAATTTGACAAAGTGCCATATTGAAAGTATCCTTGATAATTCTTGTATAGATGAAAACCTTACTTCTGTATCTTTCTCAATCCGCTTCTAAACCTTCTGTGTAAAGTAAGTCTTTCTCTGACATCATTGTTAGAAAAGAATTGCATAATTACAAATAAACATGGAAAGAATTAAATCAAACCATTAAAAACCACTAAACTCTCTAACCAAAGCAAATAATTAATCTTTTGGACCTCTACAATAGTATGCTATTTCTTAATATCAACTATCTATAAACTTTGGCTAAACCACTTGTATACAAAATTCAAATGCAATAGATTTGTATATGAAATACATATTGTATTTCATAATATAAAAGTTAATACATTAATTCAAAGGAAAAATATATTTACAAAAATATAATACTAAATAAATGAAATAAAAGAACATATTACAAATAATAATAATAATAATAATAATAATAATAATAATAATAATAATAATAATAATAATATTTACAAAGTTATAATCATACACCACCTTTTAGATCTTATTATAAAATAAAAAATTGGTGTAAAATATAAAAAAAGGTACCATTATTTAAACAATGCGTAAAGGAAAATGAAAAAAAAAAAAAGTACAAGAATACAAATGCAAAATTTTTTACGATAATTGTTGTATTTGTCACTTTCGTCATGTCATCATTATATTTATATATAACACATAATAAATTATTTTTAAATAAAAATATATCAAATCAAATCTATTAAAAGACAAATGACATTTACTTATGGCATTCCACATGTCAAAAAATTAAACTATTCATGTAAGATAAATTGTCTTTTTTACTAAAACTTTGGTCTTTTATATACTTATATAAGACATATATTTAATATATTGATTTTAAAATGATTAATAGATGATCAAATCAATTACAATTAATTTTAATATGTCAAATTAAATTAATTTTATTATCATTATTACACTAACTTTCAATTCTCTCTTTTCATTTCTCCTAACTACATTATATATATTATACTTAGACTATTTTAATTGTTTAAGCATAAATTATTATCAATTTAAAATACTACTATTTTAATTTAATTCTTAATTTATTTTAGTCATTCAAAAAATAAATAAAATTTTTTTCTTACGTATTAATAAAAAACATTGAATGTTTTATATAATAATGAAAATAAAATATTTGAAATTAAATTTATTTTACCATTAAATTCTAAATTTTAAAATTTAAATGCATAATTAATTATGAACATATATCAATTTATTAAATTATTCACATGTCAAAAATGTAAACTATCCACATCAAAAAAATTTTGTTAGAGACTTTGATTTTTATATATTTATATAAGATTTTAAAATCTCTCTTTTCATTTCTCTCAAGCACAGTGAATACGCATTATATTTGACTATTCTAATTATCAAGCATAAATTATTCTCAATTAAAATACTATTATCTTGATTTAGTTTTTAATTTGTTTTAGTCATTCAAAAAATAAATAAGATATTTTCTTATTTATTAATAAAAAACATTGAATTTGTTTTATAATAAGAAAAATTATCAAATACATTAACGGTGGTGTTTTTTAACTCCACAAACAAAATTAAAACGGTAACACTTGTCCCTTATATATTTGAAAAAATTAATTTGAAAAAGAAGTGAAACATGTATTATTGTTTAAACTATGCTTGTAAAGTTAAAAAACTCCAATATCAATATATCAAATAAATTTTTCTATAATAATGAAAATAAGATATTTAAAATTTAATTTAATTGATCATTAAATTTTTAAATTTAAATTTGAAATATATAATTAATTATAAACATATATCAATTTATTAAATTGTCTGCATATCGAAAATGTAAACTATGTACATCATGTTATTACTTTTTTGCTATATACTTCTGCTTTTATATGAGATAAAATAAGATATAAGATGTAAAAAATTATTTAAAATATTGTTTATATTTTAAATTTGATTGGTATATATTTAATGGTAAAAGTTTTATCAAAATTTTTACTAAAAGCATTTATCTAAAAATATATTAAAATTTATTAAAAAATCTTCAAAATTTACAAACTTGATTTGTACAATAAAATTTTTTAATCTATCAATTTAAATTTTAAATTTTATTTATTCACTTTTAATATAAAATTTCACAAATTTTATCTAAGAAACTTCAACTAAAATTTTCCCTTAACAAAAATCATCTTCAGACATGATCCTTTTATAAAGAAGATATTCTTTGACAAAATTATTCATGAGAATATGTTTCACGTTCTACATATAAGCCAACCATAATCATCACTTTTTTTATGATTAATATTAAGGAGTTCATCTTTTATACGTTAATAATGAAACTTTTAATTGAACAAATAAAATTAAGAAACGAACGCTTGCCTTCCTTTTTTCTTTTTTAGTTCTCTGAATTAGTCCAAATCTAAGATTTAGTGTGGCCCCGGTAGAACCGGAACAAAATTTCCATGGACAATCCGCAGGCCACTTGATGCATGCCACGTCTTTTCATGGATCCAACGGCTAAAAAATGTAAAAATTAAGTCGAAAGTGGGCCGTTTAGCCATGAAAGCATGATATCACCATCAACTAAAAAACACCACAAGAGACTTAAGCATGCAAATTTTGCATTGCAGTTTCCTTGCATGTCGTCAATTACGGTTACATATTTGTCAATTTTAAAATAAAAATTTATCAAATATATTGATAATAGAATTTTTTTAATTTTATAAGTTGAATTAAGATAATAACATATATCTTTTATTTGTCTAAAAAAATTAATTAAAAAAATTAAACATATATTATCATTTTAATCTCACTTATAAAATTAAAAAATTTTATTATCAATATATCAAATAATTTTTCTTTTAAAATTTTGCTTCCTTTAATTAATCCTCACTGTCATTCCAAATAATCATGATTTTTCATGATTTTTCTTACCATAAAACCTTTTTTCTTACCATAATTGTACATTAAAACCTTCTCATCTCTTTATAAATTCTCTTTTGCAAAGGAGACAAGTGTACCTCACTTTTCAGCTATGGAGTTCTCAAGAAAATTCCATGTAATGTATCTCTATGCGATTTGCACATCTTTCTAATATTTCAGTTTTTTTTTCCTCAAGAAAATGCTATGTTGTTTTTCTTATTTGCAAGATGTTTCAATTGTGTTTTTGAGTTATTTCTCTCGAATTATTAATTTTGTTGCAATTGATCGATGAAAAAAAGAGTAAAATGTGACAAGAAAGTAAACCTGTCCGCTTTTTTTAGGCGATCGAGGCGTTGATCTCAGCCATATTTTTATTGGGATTCTTGGGTTCTAGTGTAGCAGAACGTCGAGCAGTCAGCCATGCGACGAGTACCATCAGCTTTCCGGCACTAAATTGTCGTAAGCATAATGCGGTTTTGACAGATTTTGGGGGGGTTGGTGATGGCAAAACATCCAACACGCAGGCGTTTAAAGCTGCCATTGCGAATCTCAGCCAGCTTGCCGCAGATGGTGGTGCACAGCTTATTGTGCCGCCAGGGAAATGGCTAACTGGGAGCTTTAATCTCACCAGTCATTTTACACTTTTTGTCCATAAGGATGCTGTTATTCTTGGAGCTCAGGTACAATTTTCAGTCATCATTTTCTCGTTTACTCCCTGTCTGTGAGGACTTTGCTAGGCTTGGTTCATGATCTTACAGCTTTTCCTTCAGATGAACTGAAGAATAGTGAAGGATATACATAATCAATTTTTATCTTATTTAAAAGTAATGTCATGACCATTTATCTTGTTTGAAGTATTACTTAAAATAATCTTTCAAAATAACAAACAGGATGAATCCGAGTGGCCTCTACTTCCTATTCTGCCTTCTTACGGGAGGGGAAGAGATGCTCCTGGTGGAAGGTTCAGCAGTCTTATTTTTGGCACCAACCTTACTGATGCGGTCATTACAGGTAACTAAAAACTATGACCTATCATCCTATGGCAATTAAATGTTAGCAAAAAGTCTTGACCAAATCGTTTTAAATAATGGGGGAATTTGGCTTGTAACGTAAGGTAACAATGGCACCATTGATGGCCAAGGTGCATACTGGTGGAAGAAGTTCAAGGAGAACAAACTGACTGAAACCAGACCCTACTTGATTGAGATCATGTATTCCAATCAGGTCCAGATATCGAATCTGACATTGGTTAACTCCCCATCATGGAATGTTCATCCCGTATACAGCAGGTTGATTTGGTCTATATAAACCCTTAGTTGTCCCCATAAAGCCACGTCATCATAATGATTTTCTGATATTTGTTTTGGTTTTTGATGGAATGTGGAATTGCAGTGATGTAATAATCCAACACTTAACCATTCTTGCACCAGTTGATTCTCCTAATACAGATGGAATAGACCCAGGTTTGTTTGCACTCACAGTCGCAAGTTTCTTGTTCTTAATTAGAGGAATCAAATTCTATAACTCTGTCATATAATTGATATATGAGCCTCAATGCTATTTCTTATCATTCCAGATTCATGCACAAACACCAGAATCGAAGACAGTTTTGTAGTCTCAGGAGATGACTGCATAGCTGTTAAAAGTGGCTGGGACCAATACGGAACCAAATTCAACATGCCAACCAAGCACTTAGTAATTAGAAGGTTCACCTGCATTTCTCCTGACAGCGCCACCATAGCCCTCGGAAGTGAGATGTCTGGTGGAATCCAAGATGTAAGAGCTGAGGACATTGCAGCAATTAATACTCAATCTGGTGTGAGGATTAAAACTGCCGTGGGAAGAGGAGCTTATGTGAAAGACATTTATGTTAGGAGGATGAAAATGACTACAATGAAGTACGTGTTCTGGATGACAGGCTCTTATGGCTCACATCCAGACCCCGGCTTTGACCCAAGTGCATTGCCTATAATCAAAGGAATCAATTACAAAGACATAGTGGCTGATAATGTCACTTATTCAGCAAGACTGGAAGGAATTGAAAAGGATCCTTTCACGGACATTTGCATTTCTAATGTCAATATCAAACTGACTACAAAGCCAAAGGAGTTGCAATGGAACTGCACTGATGTTCAGGGAGTTTCCAACCGTGTTATCCCTGATCCATGTAATTTGTTGCCTGAGAAGGAAATTGACTGTCCCTTCCCTGAAGATAGGCTGCCCATTGAAGATGTCAAGCTGAAAACTTGTTCTGTCAGTTTGAGTTCTGATAATAGTTATTTACTTTACTCTTAATGCTTATAATGGATCACATGTTTAGGTTCTTAGGGAAAATAAATAAAATCTTGAGATTGTAATTGATATTAAAATATATATATATATATATATCTTTGAAAATGTAAAACCAGACAAAAGTTGTGCTTTTGCATTCTTCTAAAAAGGAGAGAAAAAAGATCATTCCTAAAGAACAAATGTTGTATGGATGAAATTATTGTAAGTGTTATTTCATCATCTTTTTCTCGCAATGATTGTAGCTTCTTTTTTACCGTAAACATCAGAAGCATCGTCGTAGTGTTCAGATGTCTGGCTATGCTCTGTGTGATGTCGAAAGGAAGCCTCTCAATTGATGCGACATTCCTGCATTATAACATAAGAGGAAAACTGAATAGATTGGCAGCCATAAGGACAAGACACAAATAGGTACAGAATGTGATATCTCAACTTCTGGAAGATGAAGTTGCTCTTACATCATTGAGCAATAAGTCACGCGGCTCCAGCATATGAATCACTTCTCCCATCGTTGGCCTATGATCTAAATCAGGATCGACACATCGAAGGGCAATCAAGGTAATCCGTTTGAGTTCCTTTATAGAAGGAATTTCTGGCATTTTAGGATCCACTACAAGTGCAATTTTCTTGTTTGCCACCATGGACTTTAACCAGTCAATCAAATAAATCTGTAAAATAGGAAATTTCATTTTTCAAAACTAGAGGCACAAGCTTCATATAATGCTCAAATAAGTTGACATTAGGAAGTGCTACTTGGGGGGGTTGATTATGATCAGCAGGCATCCTCCCTGAAATGATTTCCATGATAAGTATACCAAAGCTATAAACATCACTCTTCGTATCCAATGGGCTGGTAAAAGCATGATCTTGAGCAGCATAACTGGAGATCCATGCAAATTAAACATGTTCAACAAAAAAACTTAACTTTGATCACATTTCTCAAGTTCAATTTAGAATGCCTAGTCGCAATGAAAACGAATAGGCAAGTAGAATTCAAATAAACTGACCCTAGCTTGACCATTGAACGAGTGGTTACACTGCTGTGCTCTGGACCCAGCAGCCTAAAAAGTGCAACGTCGGAGATCTTGGGATTCCATTGATGATCAAGTAATATGTTGCTAGCCTTAACGTTTTGGTGGGCAATCTGTGGTTCAATATCTTCATGGAGATAGGCCAATCTGCAGAAACATAATCTCAATTCTCATCGAGTATATAAATATAGTTTGAGCATATGCATCAACTGAGGGAAATCACAAAAATAATCACTGTAAATAAAATAAAGTAGCTAATCTAGTTTCAGATTGTAGAACTGACCCTTTTGCTATTCCATGGATAATATTCATACGTATGGTCCACGTAAGAGGACTGCTTTGTCCTAGGGACCCATGAAGCCACTGGTGAAGATTACTGTTATTAACATATTCATATACAAGCACCCTAATGAAACAGAAGAATAAATCAGGAGTTTGAGGCATCACCATTCCCAAATTGGTCGAGATACAACTTTAAATTTATTGGATCACATAAAATAAAATACCTGTAACCTTCTTCCATGCAGTATCCTAGCAGCTTGACTAAATTCTTATGTCGAACATGGCCGATTGCCTCTGCCTCTGTTATAAACTCCTCAGTTTGGCAACTGATTGTCACATGATCAAAACTTTATTATAAACCCATGAAAATAATGATGAGTCAATCATGAAGTACGCAGTTACCTGTTACTCAGTAGCTTCTTCACTGCCACTCGTATATCATCTAACAGCACGCCACTGTAGACAACACCATAATCTCCATGCCCAATTAAATTCTCATAGGCGAAACCATTTGTGACAATCTCAACCTCCCTCAAACTGAAGTGATTACCCTTCCAGGTTTCTGAAAGCCCAGGTGAAAACTTGGCAAAGGGCTCCAAATCAGCCAGACAACTCTCTTGAGTTGTTATACCAGCATGAGTAGACCATTGGTCAGAAAACATTACCTGAAGCTCAGGCTTTGTCGTATTCATCTCGATCTCCGACATGTTAAGCGGAAGGAGCCTCCTATTGAGTGAGGAGCTGCTGTAAGCACCATGATAATTATTAGGAGCAATGGGGTTTGGCAGGCAAAATGGGGCCTTGTTGGATTTTCTACGACGATAACAGATGACACACAGAGAGATGACGAAGAAAGCCAAAAGAATGAATAATGTTATGAATGCAACTATTAAGATCCATAATTGCAAACCCAAAAACGAGGTATGCTTCCAGAGCTTTTCCTTGAGATATGATACCTGTGATGACATGCTGCCTAGAGAAAGAAAACGACGTGGAATTACTTGATTTGGGGCTTCATGGTAGAGGAAAAAGAGAGCTAAAAATCAAGGTTTTAGCTGCTGAAGAAGCTATAAATAGAAGAGGTTGAGCTTAGCTAGAAGTCTTGGGGTATATTTCAAAAATTTTGATGTGCCAACTAACTAGCAGGAGCAGCGTGAATATCTTTGTTTCATTCAATTTACGGATATCGAATAAAAATCACCGTGCTTTCCCACTACTTGAACCAGTAGTTCTATGCAACTTCACAGTGACCTGCACGGCTGCACTATTTTCCCGTGGACGCCATTTACTTTCTAAACAACCCAACCGCACCCTTTACTTCGACCAGGTTGAAGCCTCCGTACATAGAATTTTTCTTTTTTTTTTGTGACACCCTCTGCCGGTTGATGGTTTGCTTTTGCCTCAATTCGCTACCAAAATGGAGAAACACTAAGAAGAAGAGCCTCTGGCAAGTCAAGAGCATGGCATTTCAAGCCGTAGCGCAACTTAGTCAAGCCATGTTATGTTTAATTTTGGTGGGGACTATACGGTTATTTCAGGAACCAAAATTGTTCAGAAAAGCCCATTTTGTTTACTCTCGGGTTTGGGATTGCTCAACGATATCATTTAAGATTTGATGAAATCTTTAATGGGCACCGTGCATAGTGCTTTACATAATACTAAAGGTAAAGAGAGTGCAAAAACCCAAACCAGTTCTGAAGAATGGTGAATCGCAATCGGAAACTCCTGTTTACGATGTAATGACTTATTGCAGTGTTCTATACATGGATAATTTATTTTCTTCTCAAGGGCTCAAGTCCACCCTATAGTACAAACAAATTTTAGAAGATTCAGTGAAGACTCTAGAAATCAGGTATTGTACAAATCTCCGATCGACCTATTTTTATTCAGTTCCTGTTTTCATGATTAATTACCGAGCCTTTTTATGCAACATACAGACCTTCAGGAGGGGTGTATGCATATAGCTTTTCATGGCAAGCAAAGCTGCTCAATGTCCCCATTATCAAAGTGTTTCCTGGCTGGATGCAGCTTGATCTCATAAAGCTTTGGCCAGAGTTTTCCAGTTACTAGAAGGGAACCAAAAAAATAATGCCTTCAAAATTGTCTTGCAAAATGGATTGACCACACACATAAGCAGTATAAAATAGGGAAGTAAAATTAAATGATTCTGTCAGCCAAATATAGTTTACAACTTACCAAAAATGCGATTATTGTTGCTATCCCAAGCAATGCCATTCAAAACATCAATACCCTAAAACACACAGAAATTTTGAAATATTTGAGTCAGGCCGCTAAGCAGTAGGCATTAATGAATTGATTAAACTATTTAGTGATGAGATTAAAATAAGTAAAAACCCTAGCCTAAAGAGTATCTATCATCTTGCAAGAAATCATATAGAGCTTTCATTGTACCACAAGCCACAAGCATCATTAAAAAATATTTCTGATTAAGTGCTTACATTATGTCCAGCTGCTATTAGTCCTTCTCTGTAAAACAAACAAGCAGAGTGACGGATCTAATTAGTAATGATTTGATTAGAGACAAAACTTGGCCATATAAACAGAAAAAATATACCTTAAAGGTTGAAGAATAATCCACCCAAGCATTGTACCATTATTAGGTGAGATTCTAGCAATGCAGTCAGTCTACAAAGAAAGAAAGTAGACTTCAGGGAGTAATTTAAGTCAACAGCTAATCTTTTCCTCTCCAGATATATAAATAATCATGCAAGGGAAACCACTGAGCAATAGGGTCTAAAATAAATACTTCTAAAACAATAAACTGATACATTGCACCTCATGCATGTGCTAGGGAAAAGGATTTAAATATACATTCAGACAGAAGGGCCATTTGGAAATAGTTTTATATACTATATGCATTCAAATGATAACCTTTGTCAGAAAACTTTGGTTTAGGATGTAAAAAAATGTATGCCAGCTAAATAGTTGCTTTTCTTTTTTTTTTTGCTACACTGTCACCAAAGCATAGAGCATTACATGCATTCTAGGAGTACAACTTGGTATAAAGCCAGTTTCAACTAAGTTTCAAACAATGAAGCACAATATCCATGCCACATGAACCCTAAAAATAAAATCCTAAAGATACAAGGCATACCTGCCAAACATTTGCCCATATTTCACCATTTATATATTCCAATTCATTCAGGTAGCGCACGTCATGGCCATTAAATTTGATGACATGTTTTCTTGTGACTGCAACATATTGTAAAAGAGAGAATACAGTTACGAAAGGACAGTAAAAAATGGAGGTATCAATATTTACCACTAGAAAATAAAACTCATATCTACAAAGTGAAATTCACCATCAATAAAGTTAGGAACAGTACCAAAGTTGAAAACCTAAATGGAGGGGAAATATCTAATCAACACTAAATGTCTATGTAAGGGGAACCTTTTAATGTTTGAGGATCTATATGATACAGTGTTGAAGTCCCATCACTTCCATATAAGATTTTGCCATCAGTTGCCAGTCCCCAACCATCTTCCATCTGATGTGTAAATTGCTCCAACTGCAGTGAGCATGACAAACTAAAACTATTATGGATGCAGAAATAAAACCCTACAAGCATTGAATGCACTTCAGTCCAAAAGAAAAAGCAAGTAAAATGCAATTGTAAAATGAGATGGCAAATAAAGCTGTAAGCATTTTGTAATGAGATACAAACAGGATGATGATTTTTGTCATATTGTAAACAAAAAATCAGTGTTAACATGCAGAAAACGAAAAAAGAAAAAACAGAAGGCAACACTGTTTCAACTTACCATTTTGGAGATGTATCATACAAACAAGAACAGGTGAACTAGGAAGAAAGTGTCCCAGATTAAATCAACCAAAGCCAATATCGAAAAAGACTTGTATGAAAAATTCAAGACAGCATAAATCAAATAGGTTGAGAACTCTAAATAATATAAGGGCGGCTATGAGCTGACTAACTTCCCAACAATGAAATTTGTATAGAAATAGAATAATGAAAATGTATTATAACACTCAACCACGCATGCTCAGATGCTCAATAAATGTTTATTCAAAATCATGATAATACAAATTAAACAACCAAAATGAATAGTATAATGATGTAGAGACAGGAAGCACAAACTTGCTGCAATTTTTTTCTGTCATATATGAAACCAATGTTCGTCAACCAAGTTACTTGGAACAGCCTACAAAATAACATAAGAACTACTACATTAGTCTTTAAGTGCCCGAACAAAGTCATACTGTGTCAAATCCACAAATTTAGAACCATATTAACAAATTCCATCCAAATGATAAAGCAGAAAATCAAAGTAGATGAAGAGCATAAATATTGATTGAATGTATATAAATGCACAGCAATCTACCTAATATGAATAGAATTTACACTAACTGAAAAATGATCTTTAAGTACTTAGAAATATTCAAAATCAATTTGGAGGCAGACACAAAAGGATGTGGTGAAATAATGTGATGGTGGAAAAGAAAGGGGAGGAAACATGGCAGGTTGAAGAGGAAAAATGGAAGAAAGGAGCTCATTGTTTTGGATAAACACGAGAGCCAAAGTGTAGCAACTGAATTTCTTCTAACGAACCTTTCACCAAGAAGAGTTAAACCCTCTCCAAAATATGAATCAGCCATCTTGTGAAGAATCTCAACCTGTACATACAAAAGACAAAAAAAAAACCCAACAACAACAATGAACAAGAAAACTTGGAATTAGAAAATATCCTTTGTTTCAGTTTACCGCCAAGGACTTATTAACTGCTTTGTCACTTGGATTCAATCAAACAGCTATTTTAAGTTCTTTGGTAGCACACTGCAACCAAATTGGCTAGCTTTCAAGTAAATTTAACTCCGTTTTCACTAAATTCCTCAATAAATCTTATTATACACAAATTTTAATTCTAAAATACTAATATATTGTTATTTCATTGCACAAATCAATGAACAACCGAGTACCAACAAGCTTGTATGAAAATCGAAAGACAGGGATCTGTACCTTTCCGGTCTTAAGAGCTACTTTCCGAACTGATGACTGAAACAGCGAGAAGAATTAGGAGGTTAAGTAATGGTTTACATATCATTGAAATTCAACCCTAAAGAAAAACTAAAGATACCAGGCAAAATAATGCAACCTAACTCCGAAATGCAAATCTATAATTCCACCGCCAGCAAAAATGAAAATGCATACGTACATGAAATAGGAAAACACTCACTTGCTTGTAAAGACCAGTTGACTCAAATAAGGTATCATTTCCAGCATAAACAAGGCCCTGAAATCAAACAAACCAAAATATTTCAATTTAAACATACGTGCAAAAAGCGAAATAAAGAAAACAATCTCTCCGGAAATTGCCCTCACTAAACTTTGATCGATCCACTGCTTTGGGGATTTACCTGAGTGAAGGCACTGGGATCGTGAGGGAATTCATTGACTACTTGATAGCCGTAAAGCTGAATGGAGAGATTATCGGAAGATATCTTAATCCAAGTGTTTGACGAAACTCCCAAAACAAGAATTCCGCAAACAAGCAAAATAATCGATATTAAAATGAAAATTCTGAGATACAAGTGCTTATAAGAGGCCATCGAGGCGAAGGACTTGGCTCTTGATCGCTTTCTGTTAGGCTTCTTCTTCAACGATTTGGAGGCCATGGCCGTTCATTGCAGCGAGCCTTTAAATCGGATTATCACGGGGTTTCATATTTGGTAAAGAGAGTGGCGGAGGAATTTGCTGTAGGGAGCGTTGCGACGGAGGCTGCAGCCAACGTCATTGATTGGAGGTTCGTCCTAAAAGGTGCGCAGTAGTTGTTTGGTCAACAAATGTTTGGTAAGATGAACAGTGTAGTCCAATCACCAATCACCAATCAGATTCCTCATTTCTTTTTTTTTTTATTCAAATTTAAAATCTTTGCCTTATGACGACACACCTTCCGTCAAAACCCAAACACTGACCCAACCTGCCGATCCTGCAATGCCCTACCCAACCAGGTGCCCCCAGAGATGACCATATCAAATTACCCATGTGTAAAAATCAACAATGCTTGGGTTGTTAAAGGCTTCCACATCAATGCCACTTGAAAATTCAATGGAGGTGTAATGTGGATATCAATTTTGATTATTTTTTAATTTGGAATCAAGCAAATTTGTTAGGAAAGTATGACTTTTTCGAGAAACTTGCCCATGGTTGCGAGAATAAATATTGGACCAAAAACGTAGTCTCATATTTTGACAATGTTAACCTTTTCGGCCAGGAGACCCTCAAACAGTGTTATTTTAAAACAATTGTTTGTTAATAGCAAAATTAAAGTAACAAGTGAGCAGAGACAGTTCCATTTCCACAAACTCAAAAAAAAAAAATTGTACATCTTATAACAAGCTCAATATTGAACCGAGGCTACAAAATACTAGGGGCACAGAGGCATTAGTTCTAAGATTTTGAATACTATGTTTTAAAGAGAACAAGCCAAAGGACAGGCGTTGCCTTCAAGTAAAACCTGAGCCAGATGGAGCTGCACTATAGCCTCTACCTCCACGACCAAAGGCAGGCCTTCCGCCAGAACCCTGCACGGTCAAAAAGGAAAAGAAACCATAAATGCAGGCGGACATTAGTTACCTGTACCAAGTTTATCTAAAAGATTGGGCATTAGTCAAAACAAGGCACATCACCGGATACATAACACAAAATAGAGTTAGCCTCTTAATAAGCAAAGCTTGAATTCTACTTAAAACAGCTTACCTCCAATAATTAAACACTATAAAGATACACTGTCAACAACATGTCTGAATACTAATCTTTACAAAATCTAAGCAAAATGTATTCCATTTTCAAATTGTTCTTAACCTGGGCTAAACCTTGTTTCCAAAAGATCAATCTAAATCCCTCAACAGCATAACAAGTCAGACCAACTGAAGAATTTTCAGTCAGTATGAAAACAAGCAAAATTAATCAAGACAGCTTAAGAGTAAACATTAATTATCATATATTCTTGAATACTTTCATGGCCTAAATTTAAAATAGAACTAAAACAGCAAGAAAACATCAATCTAATCATGAAGGACTTTAAATTCTTGATGCATACAAAATTAACAACTACAGTAAAAAACAGTTCAAACTATATCAATAATAACAAAGAAATAAAATGTGAAATTACTCTGAAGGATGGCTGGAAATCCGCTGGAGCACCTCCCTTGTCACCACCAAAGTCGCCCCCACGAGGACCTCCACGGTATCCATCTCTGTCACCAAACCTTGGACGGTCTCCTTCAAAGCGAGGAGGACCCCTAAAATTGAGACAAGTAAAAGATTTCACTTACAATCCACACACAAACTAAAAGAGAAAAAGACCAAATTTGAAACAAATCAAGGAATAAAAAAATAAACACTAAAACAGTGACAATCATAAGATAAGATGCATTACCGAGGGCGATCACCAGGTGGGCCACCTAGCCTACCAGGGGGCTTTGTAGATTTCTTCAAAGTAGCAGGCACAATTTCAGATGGAAGATTGAGGTAAGTTCTGAGAAACTCAATCCCATCATTAGTAAGGTACCAGTAGTAGTGCATCCAAGCAAATGTCTCACGGACATATTCCTTGGACTTGAAGCTCTGCATCAGCTTAATGACCTGCAAATTGGGCACATCGATCTCCGGGTGCTTTGCAAGATTATAATCCTTCTTTGCATAGCAAACTCCCTCTATAAAATTACAAGCAATTTTCAATGAGAAACACAAAGCAGCTATCTGCTGAGATCAGCTTTGGGGTATCATAGGAAACATGGGCATGACCAAAACTAAAAATCCCATCTCTTTTAAGTGCTTCTTAACAGAATAAATAAAAAGCTCACTTCATTTTCTCATCAACAAGAATGGACAAGGGACTAGTCACATAATAAAAACAAATAAGATGAATCAAAATTAAGCTCAATTTTCTAACCAATCAAGCAAATAAGAAACAAGAAATGAGTAAAGCAAGTGGATAAATTACAAGAAAATTGAAAAAAAAAAAGAAATCTGTACCTTGAAAGAGGTATTTGCAGATTTCTCTACGGTTCTTCTCTGGAATAATCTGACCAAAGAAACAAAGAACAACTTCAGTCGTGTATATACGTATATGGGTACGTATATAAAGGGTAAGAGATATAGAAATATACTTACCATGGCTGCGAAGTCAACAGCAAAGGCACGGGGAGCCCTTTCCGGTTTTTCTAGCAGGTGCAGCAGAGAGAATAAGAAACAGCTTTGAAACCCTAGAAAAATGGTGCTGATTTTACAGTGGAGCCGGTTTCGGGCAATATGGGTTTTACCCGATCGGACTTTTGTGGGCTTGAGTCCTGAGTAGGTGGGCTTTAACTCAGCATAATAGTGGGCCACATGCAACCCGAGATCAAGATCCAAGATATTTTAAGACAAATTAGATGTTTTAAGAAGTTGCAGAGTATTCTAAAAAGAAAAAGGCTATAATTAAGTTTTAGTAAAATCAAAAAAATTAAAGAGCATAATTGTAATAAACAGCAGTAATAATAATTATGAATGGATATTCTGAGTGTAAATTCTATAATAAATCATATGATGATATTTGAGAAAATTTTTAAAAAATAATTTTTGCATATTTATTTTCCGAAATTAAAAAAAAATTTATATTTATTTATTAATAAAATATTATTATATGACTCATTAATAACCTATGAAACCATGCATTGAATAATACATCGATATAGATTTAAATAATATTTATTAATTTAGTTTATAGCATATCTCCATAGGTATAGGGTGCCCATTTCTGGCTTCCTGGGTCCGGATATCATGTGACACATAAAACAAAAGGTCCTTGCGTGCTTGGTTTGCGCACCACATTCTGACTTTCGACTCCCTACTCCCTAATCCTTACTCTCTTCTAGCTATAAAATAACCTTTCTTTTTCCGTTCTTCATGTTTTCTTTGCTTCCAAACATACATTCCACGCAAAAACCTAACCATTTTCTTACCAACTTTCTCTAGAAAATTTTCTCATGCAAAAATACAACTTTTCTTTTTCTCACTCTTCACTCACATTTCGCATCTCTTGTTCTCTTCATCATATATATAGCTGTACAAATTGCATACTTTAGACTGTGTATTTCTTCAGGAGAAAACAAAAACAAAAAAAAAAAGAAAGAAAAGGAAAGTTAGCGTTATTATAAAGATCTAGAATCTCGATCTTTAGGTTTTTGATATACGCGTTCATAAACTTGACATAAGGATTTTTCAATCGAAAACTTTTTTTTTGGGAGAAGATGAGATCAGAAAAGGAGGATCAGTGTCTAGTGCCACAGTCAGAACCGGATGAACCAACTCGCTGTTTTCGCAAGTAATTTTTAACTCTGCCTTCTCTCTCTCTTCCGTTTGCTTAACGTTTATACAGTAATAAGTTGCGGCCTTTTTTTGAGTTAATAAGCACATTGTTTGGTTGCTGAGAAAAGTGCAAGGAAAAAAAAGGAGGGCGTGGGGACAAGAAATGAGGTTTATGAATTTCATTACTTCCCTGTTTTACTAACTTAACAAATAAAGAATCACATACTCTGTCTTCAGCGAAAATAGTTTGTATTTCTTTTCATTTTTTTTTTTTGGTGCAGAAAACCAAAGTTTTCATATAAAAGAGATTTTCTCTTTTCCTTGGCTGAATTGGATACATGCAAAAAGTTGCCTACAGGATTTGACAGTTCAATATTAAGGTAATATCAGTACTTTTGTCCTATTCATTTTTTTTTTTTGTTACTAACTTGCTGTTGCATGTTGTTGCATCCTTGGTCGTGTTGCAATAATGTTCTTGATTTTTTTTTTTTGTTGCAATTTTTATCAGAGAACTTGATGATCAATCAGAGACCGTGCGGTACTCTTATCATGATTCAGGTTAGAAGTTTCTCCCTAGTTTTTTTCCCACTCACATTTTGCAAAAACAAAAGAGTATAATTATCATACTTTAATTTAAAAATGACCGATTATGATTTGTATCGTTTAGCAGTTCCCAGTTCAGTGATGATGTGGTGTTTGATTGATTGTGAATCATTGTAAACCTAGTTACAAATGTCAATGATGGAGTTATTCTTTTGTTCATGCAGTGGAGTATGAGGTATATACAAATATATAATAGGCTGTTTATCGATGTTTTTCATCTTCATGTACTTGAGGATCATGGCTGTGCTTCTATCAACCAAATGGTAGTTGAAGTTGCATTCAGTTTCTGGCTTCTTGAACCATATATGTTATTGTACAGATGCTTGCAGACTTCAAAGCAGCTTATCTCATTGTGAATGGCGAAATCCTGAGCAAGGACTTCTGGCAAGTGGTGCCTTTGCAAGAGTTCATAGAGGCGTAGCAGAGACTTCTGTTCCTGTAGTTCAAGGTGGTAGCTTCCAGCTACTCAACCGGAGTAGTGAACCTTATCGTCCTCCACATCTATGCAAGGTACATGCTAATACTCTCTGATTCATCTAGTGCTAGGAAATTTTAACTGACCATTCCTTTTGTGTCTGCAATCATTGTCTATGATGCTTGTTTTCTGTCAATTAGCATTAAATCATGTTTTAATTAATTAGAAAAAAAACTATGTCAAAGGATTTAGTTTAATATCACATTTGTTTATTTCAGGCAAAATATTATTCCGGGAGAGAAAGTAAGGACCTTTATAATGATGAAACATTTGGTTCTCCTGATAATATGAGTCAAGATAGAGCAGAGAAGGAAAAATTTAGAAGAGGTAAAATCTTTGCTTTTTCCTATGGTTTTTTTTCTGGAGGTTTTATGTTGTTATTTCTTTCCGTATTCATGGTTTTAGCCAGTTAAGGTTCAAAGATAGATAACTCACCTTGTGTTTATTGAACAACCTTCTCTGCTCAGATTCATTTGAATTGATGAGGAAGGAACAAGAAATGGCTACTCAAGAAAAGAAAAAGAAAATCTGTGATGAGCAAAAAGAAAATTTGAACCCAGAAATTGCTATAGTCCTGGAGGATTCTGGAGTTGATAAGAAGGTTGCAAACAAGTACAGTGAATCCAAGGCATCTGAGGTGTCTCTTCCCTCAACAGTGATTCAGAGTGAAATTTATACTTTTAATAACCTCCTGTTTCTGGCTGATGATTATGTATAGCATCTGACAGCATTTTTTTTATTGTCTGACCAGACTTGTGATGTCAAAGAAGGTCACCCTGAGAATCCTTCATTGTTTTCCTCCTACTTAACTCATCAGCTTCTCGAAGGAGGTATGCTCAAAAAAAGAAATTATGTTTATATTCTTTTGACTTTTCAAAAAGCTTTCTTAAAAGTGGAACTGTGGACTATGTTTCATAACCTTTAACTTTCTGAATCAATTGATTATGTAGCAAAGAGAAGCTAAAATTTTTTAACTTCCAAAATTCTCTAGAGAAGAAGACTGCTGGTGATCAAAATGTCATTGAGTACGACTCTATAAAATTTTCTTTTGAAACAAATGGATTTGGTCACAAACTTATAAAATCTGCCCTCACTCCTGTTACAAAGGAAGTCTCTGTGGAATTGCATGGTCGTTGTAATCCAGGAGTTCTTTCCTTTGAATGTTTAGAAGAATCCATTCTGTCAGAGATCAAAGGACATGATTCAACTCAGCATCACTCGATCAATGGAAGAAACAGTTATGATGTAGTGGAATCACAACCAAGTTATTCCTATTATGATGTAGCACATCAGCACTTTCTTTCATTGTTACTCAAGGGAGCGGGCTTGACAGATTTGGCAGAATCCTCAATGCTAAACACGTGGTCCTTGGATAAGCCCTATGTTTCTGAAACTGAAATTGACAACAACCAGCTAAAGAAAACAGGTAGAGTATGCATAAACAATTTTGAGAAAAATTTTCATGAACCTATCTCGGGATCTCTCGTAACAGATTCACAATTAACTGCATTATCAGGCACCCGAAAAGACTTAACAAGCAGGTCCAAACAAGATTATACAATGGAGTCTCATATCTTGCTTCCGGTTGGGGATAATAGCTCCATTCCCTTGACGGTTAATGAGTCTGGATCCATTGGAGATGTTGATGGCATTGCGTTCTCGAGCTTTGTTAAGCAAACTGGTGTAAGTAAAAGAAATATTAATCTTTTAGTCTCCGATATTCAGGCTAAAGCTGGACTTGATCTAAAGGGGAGGCCAGAATCGTTGCAAAGTTCTCTGACTAGTTTTGATGAACTTGACATTTGTCTGCCTGATGAGGATAGCCTGATAACAGTAGATGACTACATATTTCCACAAGACTCCATGTTTGTGGCTGCTGGGGGTACCTTAAGCGCACCTATAAATACATTTAAGAGGCTATTTGACTGTCGTGTAGCTGTCAGTAACAAAAGATCTGATCTAGCTGGTTTTGGAAGCTCTACTTCCTTTCGTGGCTCTCATAATCTATTGAGTTTGGAGACTTGTTATAATTGTCTGCACAAGCAGCAGTCTTACCCACAGCTCTACCATTCTCAGATGAAGCCAGCGAAGGCACGAATGAGCCATTCCAAGTGTCAAGAGAGTCAAAGGGGTTCAAGAATCAAGCCTAGAGATTTAAAAAGCTACCCCTATAATCTACAATCTTTACAATACTTCCCTAAAAATGTGCATCTCACTCCTCGGCACCTCCGAGCAGCTGCAACAGGATTTAATCATTCTGGTACTCAGTTGCTACAGGAGTTACCTGTTCCAGGCTATTTCCCTCACCACCAATTGTATGAACAGCCAAGAGTAGCATTTCCGCAACATACTTCGGATGAAATGGCTTGTTACGGACAGGACCAGAATGCAATGCTTAAATCCCTGGATTTTAACCAACAAAGCTACAACTACCCTGAAAATGACAGTTCCAGGTATAACATGCACAAATACTCCTGAAATGTTATCGACTTCATAACTTTCTAATGAATTGCAGGTTTTGATCAAGTGTCAATTCCAACTTGCGAAATTGAAATGTTGAATGACTGCAGTTTGCAAATTTCTTGCTGTTTCTACTTGTGTTATATCACTTTATTGGTGAAAACATTATTCACAGGAATTTTGAGATGGGAATTGAGAGAAAAGCTGATGCATCATCTCCCACCACAGCTGGCCATGTGCAGGAAGTCTTTGGCAGAAAGGTTTAACCAGGATTTTGAGACAATTTGGCAGGTGATCTGCTAGAAAGTTTTAACTTTTGTTTAACCTCAACCAGTAATTGGCTAGGTAGATTCATCTTTTCTTCTAGCTTCTCAACTCGTAGTAGCTTTCATAAATATTGACTAATTAACGTCTCTAGGTGGGTTTGGATGCGGACGGATATAGTATAACATTTGATATTTGGCAAATATGAATGGGAAGTCATAGGATTAAAAAGCTTAAAGAATGACTGATATTCGTTTGGCAGATTTTCAATCGTTGATAATTAATTGCTAGGTGATTTATCATATTTTGATATAGGGTGTGGGAGAGAACTCCCAGTGCCTGGAGAAAACACACCTGAATTCATGTGCCTGAACATAGCAAGTATCTTTTACTGTTTTAACCTAAAGTCTGTAAAAGTTTGGATGTTGATTGCAATCGTAAGTTCAGCAAAAGTATGATTGCTTCCTAAAGTTGTCGAGTGAAAGAAAGATGACCATCAATCTGGGACTCGATACCCATTGAATCAAATCTAATTTCATCTTCCTGCAACCATTTGTCTTTAAGATAGACGTTGATATTATGATTTCCTTCTTGAAAATGGACATTTGAAAATGTACTAATTGTCTCATAACGAAAGAAAAGCGTAGATAACGAGAAAGTAAGGTTGTTTCGCTTCATTATTGTTTGGTACAAGAGATGAAATATAGCAAAAGAACAAAAGAAATTAAAAAATTAGAAGAGTTGAGAAATTAGGGTAAAATCCTCAAGGGAGAAATAGGAGTACATTACATAAACAATCATGAGGTTTAAGTAAATAATTTATTTCATTCACCACCTTTAAAACTTTCTTTTTTCTGATATTTTAAAAATATTCTAAATTCATTTATATCTATCAATAGTTATTAAAATTTGACAAAATTTACTACTCATTCACGTGTATATCCATATAAATGTCTGACAAAAAGATGAACTTTTATTTTTTAAGTTAAAATTTATGTTATATAAACGTTCTCGTGATATTGACATTTATGTGATACATTTTATTAAATTTTTAATAATAATTGATAAAATAAATGAATTTAAAAATTTATCGTAAATAATTTGAATTTCAAAACTTATGAATGCAAATAATATATTACACAAAAATCATAAATTTATAATACATTTTTATGTTGAAAATATAATTATACTATCTAATAGATGCTTTAGCTTTTTATTATTTGTCTTTCTTTAATTAATTTTATTTTCACTGTATTTAAAAAAGAAAACAAAAAGCAAATAGTATATTGTAAATAGTAAATAGTATATAAACCATACAAGAACAGGTTTTTCTTTTCAATATCCTTTCTTCACTTGAAAAATTATTGACTTCTAAAAACATAAAAAAAGTACATTTTTATTTCTCTGTCCCAAACATGTGATCAATTAATTTTCTTTTTTCTACCAAACATTTACTAAATGACAGAGAAAGAGACCCAATCCCCACCTTTGTTATGGAAATTAAAAAAACTGAACCCTCTGTCAAAAGCCCAATAGCCACACCGAACCCGCAACAATGCTGGGAAGAATGGGAATGGGTACAATCGACAAAAATATGCACCCTCCATGCCAGTAATGGCAACATTAAAACACCAAAACGACCAGCTAGGAATGGCAACGAAATAGATCAAGACTGTTTTTTTTTATCCAGACCTGACCCAAAATTTTTTTTATTTTTGTATATCCAAAACCAATCCAACTCTAATATTACATAAATCACATTCGATTCAATTTAAAATTAATAAAATATTATTTTTTAATATAAATATATATAAATAAATAATTAAAAAATAAAACTTTTTATATATATCAAGTAAGATTAGATTGAATTTACCTCAAATCTAATACCAACTTGATTCAAATCTTTTTTTATTATTACCAGACTCGAAATTCGATTAAAAAAAAATTTAATCCTATAAAATCAGATAAAATAAGATCGAATCGAAACTGGTGGAGGCAATTTGGGCAGCCAACCCTAAGCCAGCTTTATATTCTGCTAGCAACATCCACAATGAAAAACTGATACTTGTATATACCCCCGACAGCATAGACAAATATGCTGTGCCTATATAACAAAGTAGTAAATACATCATGACAACATGCGCGGCCAAAACTTGAATACAAAAGACCCAGCACTGTACAAGATACCCCCGTCTCAGAAAAACATAAGCACTGTACACTCTCTTCATCACTCTTCTCCTTTCCTTTCATTCCGCACCCGCTTCTCCTTTTAACTTCTCTTACGATATATATACATGACAGCAGAATAGGGAAAATTATTCGGAAATTTTGCAGCCGTTGATCCTACCAACAGTATATACCATATATATACTAACATAACATCTTGGTTCAAAAACTCGTTTGGTTCTAGCCCTTTTTCCTGGCATGAAAACAGAGTCTATATTAATTAATTATACAATAAATAAGATAAATTATGCACAGCTGAAATGAAAGCAAATCTCATCACCTACCATGTTAAGTGATACTTTTGGATTGGTAGTTATCAACAGCTTTACACGCATCATCACGATTAATTGTCTCTGTGTCAATCTCATAGGAAGAAAGCAACCTTCTCTGCATCAAAAAAACACATAGTTTAAAACATTATATTTTATAATAAATGATATTCATAAATTATGTAGGGAATAAACAGATTTTAAAAGTCCAACAAAACCAACCAAAGAAAAGACTCACAGCCAGAAAGTTAAAAGGAACTAGACCTTTTACCAAATGATAAGTATACAACTTTGGATGCATAAATCAGGGATACACTATGCTACTAAACAAACTAATTCGACATCATGATTTCACTCTAGCATTAAAACAGACGATAGATATGCAAAATAAATCATGCAACAGAACCAATTGCACCCTAGATAGATCTATACTATCATGGGAATCATCATCATACTTTGCCAAACTGTCATATTTCTAGCTGACTACAGAAAACTCATTGTAGTTTACATGGCAGAAAACACACTGCTGCAAACAGTTGAAACCAAAGGATGATTGCCCCTGATTTATGTTAGGCTGGATTGTAGCAATTCAAAGGATATCTGTCGACAGAAATTTTCTCGGTATTCAACCACTTGGCAGATAAAAAAAAAAAAAAAAAGAGACTAAAACATCTAATAGACCTACAAAAGCAAAGGGTGATACCAAGTAACAACATTACTACTTTTACTAGTCTTCTCACATCATGCACACATGAAGGAAGAAGTAACCCAATAGAAAGAGCTCAGAAATAGAAACTTACATGATCCTCAAAATCAGGACTTGTCAGATTGATGGCGAGGTTTCTCATCAACAGCAACACCTAAATAGCAGAAAGAAATATAAGCAATCACATCTGCAGCAAGACCGTATAAATTGTTGTTGTAAAAAAAAAAACATACTGTTTCAACATCTATGGGATCCATCTTCTTAAGTTTCTGCAGATGTCCATTAGTGTTTGGATCAAAGACATTGCCAATGAAACTGTATACTTGTGCAAAGTCAGGCAACACTGCTTAAAAAAAAAAAAAAAGTTTAAAGGGTGTGAAGATAATATGGTATAAAAGATTACAAATTTCCATTAGCACACAAACCTCTCAGTGCATGACCATGATTTCCCTGATCAGTTATTTCCCCAGTTTGTCTTGTCTTTGGGGTACTCTCAGGGCTACTACAAGAGATATTGCCCAACCCCGGACCTATAAAGGAAGATATACAACAAGTAATCAAAACCTTAAGTTTTAAAAGGGATCACTTCTAAACGAGTTCAATGTTTGAATACTAGAACTAGGAAGAACAAGAAACCTTTTGTAGCTTGTGAAAAACTGATGGTTGGTGCATTGTTTGTCCAGGAAGCAGCGGCACTAGTAATAGGGCTCATAATCATTGATGAGGGTTCAGATCTTAGAACATATCCACTGTCAAGTAAAGCAGCTGATGACTGAAAAGAACCTGATACTTGTGGGCATCCATGAGCTGCCAGATTAGACACAGAGACGGGATTATTATGTCAAGCTTGTGCTGTAATTACTACTCATACTTAAGATAAAATATCCTCACCATTTTTAGAGGCTTTCTGAGGATATGGATGAGCTGCTTTCCTTTTAGGTCGAGGTGGAGGAAGGTGTTCACTTGTTCCACTCTTCTGAACCTTTAGAAAGTACTTCTGGGCATGACTACGAATCTACAAAAACAAAAGAAGGCATTGCATTTCAAATGTCTGTCATGGGCATCAGTATCTGAAGATAATTGTTAAAAACAAAAAAGCTCTAAATAAAAATTACATTGGTTTTCACGTCATCACAAATTTGTTGCCTCTTACTGAAACATTGAAAGCAGTCTAGGATGCAAAGGAGAGATTAATAACTATGGTTGACAACAATATAGATATCCTTCATTCCTCAACCCTCCTACCTCTTTCCTTCCAAAATACAAAACAACTTGCCTAAGGAAAAATGTTAGATACGTTTCAGTTTACCTGAATAACAGTCTTTGACCCAATAAATGCTTCAATCTTTTTCCAGTCACGGTCAAAGCTGAACAGAATCAATGAAAAAAAAAACAACAATAACAATGAGTAAGCGCAAGAAAACCTTTTTCGCAAACATACTTATGAAAAAAGCATGAATCAACAAGCAACGAACCTAATAACAACAAAAAACGAGTATAAAAACTTCACTAAGTCATAATTTTAAAAAGTTTTTCAAGTAATAGATACTATGCTGCCTCAATAAAAGGTTATTATGAAAAAATATTTGAACATTATTCCAAAAATACAACTTTCACAGTGGTTATAAGAAGTATATTACCATCAAACATATGGTACTATTTACAGTTTAAGAGCTTGCAAGATTTACTATCATGTCTTCAAATATGCAAACAGGCTATTACACTCCACTGTCTTTTCAGCTAGATATGAACCCTAAAACCAGCTGAATATAAGAAGGAACGTATACATAACACACAGAACAAGAATGTCATATCCTTTTCTTCCCCACTTGCCCATTACAAATTATTCTCATCCTATTTTTTCATACTTACAAAATATATTTTTTAAGAAAAACCTATTTAGAAATTTTAGTTAGCTACTAATGAAATAAGAAAAAAAGACCTTCAATATCAAATTCAATTCAAAACCTTAAAATTGAACTGCAAAAAAAAAATCATAAACAATTTCCAAATAAAAGAAAAAAGAAAAACCCTAATTTCACAATGAATCAAAGCAATTTCATAGAATCAGAGAGAAAAATGCTTTAGACTTTACAGCTGGAGAGCTTCAAGGAACTTGTCGTGTTCGGGTTCAGTCCAGCTCTCTCTGGACTTGGTTATGGTGTAGGGCTTTCGGATTTTCTTATTCGGATCCTCGGAAGATGAAACCGTCGTCGTGGCGAAGGGTCCTAGGCCGGGCAAAGCCATTCCAGTCGGATCCAGGTAAAATCCTTCAGCCGGGTTCGGGTTTTTTGAGACCATGAAAGAATTTTGAGAGGGTTTTTCTCTAGCTTTGATACAACGGAGAGAGGTGGCGTTGGGATGAGTTTGCATATAAAGGGCTCAGGATTTGGATTGGATGCTGCTCGGTTTCCACCTGAGATTTAGAAGTGACGAATAAGAATCTGCCACGTCTAGAATGAAATTTTGTTCAAGTTAAGATATATTTTAAATTGAGGAAATTATCAGATGCGTTTTTAAACAGAATACATATGTTCCCAAATATGCACAAGTGAATATAAATTTTTAGAATAATAATTTTTTTACTAACAATCTACAATGATAATTTTCTTGCCAATACAAGGCAAAATAATTAGTAATTAAAACATTTTACAATATGCTATAAATCCCAAAAAAAAAAAAAAAGTCTTTACTCTGTTGAATGCTAATAAAATATTTGATAAAATTTACATGAAATTTTTAAGTAAAGTTGGAGAAGTTTTTTATTAAAAAAGATTTAATAAAAATTTTAATAAAATTTAGATTGATATATTAAAAAAATTTAATGTGAAAATCAATAATTTGTTAAAAGTTATTAAAAAATTATTAATAATTTAAATTTGAGTGATATTTATTTAACAGAAAAAATTATATCAACATTTTTTTAAATACCTATTTAAAAATATATATTTATTAAAATATTTTCAAAATTTGCATACTTAATTTATATAATAAAATATTTCAATCTATCGATTTTGATTTCAATATAATTTTAAGATATTATCAAATACATTTATTATAAAATTTTTTAACTCTACAAATAAAATAAAAATGATGACATATATCATTTATATATTTAAAAAAAATTAATTTAAAATATATATATAACACTTGTCATCATTTTAACATCACTTACGGGATTAAAAAACTCCATTATCAATGTATCAAACAATTTCTTTTTAATTTTTATTTAATCATTTTTAGTAAAAAATTTTACAACTTTTATTTAAGGAATTTCATTTAAGTTTTTCTCATAAAATATGAAAGTAAACGCTTAAGGATAACGCCTAGGTTAACATTACTATTAAAAATAATTATTGTGTTTAAAAACTGACATTAATTCAACTTTAGTGCATACTAATGAAAAGAATATGATTTTTTAATTTAAAATCGTGATTTGTTAATCCAAATAAACAAATTTTCTTTTGCAGTAAAAAATTACATTTAAGATAAAAAATTATCTTTATATTTTTTAATATTATATTATTAAATATTTTTAAATATTTCAATTATTTACTGCACTTTTAACAGTAATATCAAATATTTAAAATTTAAAATTATAATTTTATCACATTTTTTAAACACCCTTTTTTTTTTAACTCAATTTTTTAAAAAACCGCAATAGTTAGCTAAACTAACTCTTAAGGATAATTTATCAATTAAGAAGACATTATTTTTTTATACAAGGAGGGTGCAAAAGAGGAAAAAATTGCATGTACTTAATTTGAACCATAAATTTATTAATATTATTTTTAAAAATAATTATATAATTAAATTAAATTAAATTTTAAATTAATTTAAAAAACCTTTTAACACATTCATTTTATAAAGGGATGGTTAAAACATGGACAACCGCCTTGAATTATGTTAAGAGTTTTTAATTCTTTTCATACAAAAGTCATTTGGTGATTGAAAGAGCGGCAATCCATGTACTCAAATTATGATTATTATAACTTTATAATTAAATAGCAAAATTTGTGCTAGCTATATAGTTAAAACCTTTTTTTTATTTTATTTTTATCATAGTAGTTTGATTTAAGAGCTATGTTAGAAAGCAATTAAAAACCAAATTAAAAGTTTACGAATTTTATTATTTTATTTAGATAAATTTTTATATTTTTATTACATTCGAATAATTTTTTATTTTTATTTTACATTCAAATGAACTATTAAATTTTAATTTATATCTAAATAAATTTTTAGATTTTAATTTATATTTAAATAAATTCTTAATATAAATTAATTTTTTAAAAATAAGAATTTATTTGAATACAAATCAATAAATAAAAATATATTTGAATATAATAAAAATATAAATATCTATCTAAATAAAATATTAAAAATAAAAAAAAATTAATATTTTAACCAAAGTCAAAATGTCAAAGTTTTAATAGTAAGATATCTTCTTTTATTCCTCAAAGCAAAATTACTTTTACTACATAAATATAGAAGCATTGTTTATTTACTTTTATAAAAAAATTAAAAATATTTCAAATTTTGTTTCGATTTAATCTTTTCTCAAAATTGAAATTCAATCTTTAAAGGTTGTTAATTTTTTAAAATTTTTTTCAAAATTTTACCTTTTTATTAAAAAAATTGAGTGACTATCCTGTGATGGAAACATTGATTATATAAACAGAATTTTTTTTTGTTTTTAAGTTATGTAAATAGTGCTACTTGGTGCTACTCAGTACTAAAATATATTGATTTCGTAGGAAATAGAGGAAAATTACTTGATTTAGGCAATTGGTTACAATAGTCTAGAAGGCGTAGGAAATTTGTCCGCACCAAACAAATCCTAGTGGAGGGAAGCGTGAAAAGACAGGTAAAGAGATAGAGCTGTTTTCAACGAATGACACGTGGCAGAAAAAGAAGCTTAGAAACTGAGATGTATGGTATTGATGAAATCCAATGTGTTAAGTGGCCAGCGACATCGACACATGATTGGCTGCAGATATTTAACAGTGGGACCCTACTTAAGTTGGCCACTTCTATGTTGCTTTTTTAGTTTTTTCCTCTGATATTTGGGTTCACCCTTTTCTCTTTCCACAATCGCATTCATGGCCTGGCTTCGTTTCACCCATTTGAAAAGCCCGACAAGAATTTTGCCTTTATCTCCGACTCACGTTTGTTTTCAAGGAATATCCCTATTTCATTTTCATCTTTAGATGAACGTTAGTCATATGATGGTTGGGGTGCATTTCCCAACCATACAGTCAATTTGTTTCTTTAGAGTAATTTTTTTTTTGTCTAGAAGGTAAGGGAGGGGGGAGGTTCGAATTCGAAACCTCATGTCCCTTATAAGGTTTTTTTGGTTACCACACCGGGAGGTAGGGAACTTTAGAATAAACTTACATTCGGACGAATTATGCAATTAATTTTAATAAGATTGAAAATAATGATAAATATAAAAGCATTATTATAATAATAAAATTAAAAAATTAATTATCCAAGCTTGTCTTTATATATGTACTCTCAGGTTCAACAAGGGCTTTGGTTCATGATCATTAGACAAAAAGCCAATGACGGTGAATGGTTTTGAATATTGATTAGTTTGGTTAACAGGAGGAATAAGGTCACTGCATTAATATTTTGGAGAGTGGTAATCGCAGTGCCTAGACAGCCAAGCCTGAAATTGGCAATTCATATAGGTAACACTTTTATACAGGACAACAGTTTTGCCCCTCACTCCAATTTGTTTTAGCAAGTGAACTCGTAGCATCATACATCATAATATAGTAGCTTTTCTTCATCGTCTCTGCATGTCCTTTTACTGGAGCACAGGGAAAAGCAGGGGATCAATTATTGATTTCATCTGTGAATACATTTTCATGAGGGTCGGATCAAAGAATCAAGAATGATTTACTTTTAAAGGTTTTTATTTTGGATGTTCGGTGAAAAAAAAATCAAATTTCAAATCTAATCCCCAAATGACGTGATGATAGCAATTAGCATGATGGAAATCTCTTTCCACCTGCATTCAAATTAAGCAAAAGTTGTTTGCAGATGCACTGATATAATATATTTACTTTTATCTTACATATATTGACCTAATTATAGTTATGTAGAATAGAAAAAACTTAAATAAAGTTTTTTAAGTGAAATTTTTGAAATTTTCTATTAGTTGTGACTAAAAATAATGTAAATTAATAAATTAAAATATCTTGTTACATAAATCAAGTGTATAAATTTTAAAAAATTAATATATTTTGATATCTTTTTTATATAAGTTTTTTAATAAAAATATTAATAAAATTTTTACTATTGAATAAGTATTTATTAAATTTAAATTATAAACATCATTTTCAATAAATTTTTTTATATATTATTGATTTTTACATTAATCTATCAATTTAAATTTTTTTATTAAAACTTTTATTAAATTATTTTTAAAAAAACTTTGTAAATTTTATTAAAAAAATTTCTTGTAAATTTGATCCTTTATTCATTTTATGGATATTATGTATTCTAAAAATTTTCACCACTTCATTTCCACATATCCTCCCCTGATATTGGTTGTACCATTTTTTTTTCGGGTTTTTTTTGCCCGGAACTTGTTACTGCAGAAGATTGAGAAAAAAAAAGTACTAAAAAACTCTAAGCTAGTTTGCAAAGCGCTATATTAAATAACAATTTCAGTAGTTACCTGTCATTGTTGGATGATACTGTATTCAGCTTTCATGTCTTGAAAATCGACAGCTCTGTCAAAGAAATATATACTACTAAAAAAATAAAAAACTTGAATTTGAACTTTTTGTTGATAATAGCATTTCTTTGTGGGAAAGATTGCCATGGGCACGTTAAGAAAATGTTCCCAACTCAAGATAGTAGGTCTATCTTGGGATGAGAATTTTCTCGCGTAACTGTCAAATTTTCTCACAAAACCGCTTTCTCGTCCAACCACCAATTTTCATACCCAACCGCCAATTTTTTTGCGTTGCTATCAACCTTCTTGTTGTAGATATTACATTCTTTGTTATTGTTTCATTCTTTACTGGTAATTGTTGGATCTTTGAAAGGTTCTTGATTGCGACATGGCTTTAACTGCTCAATCATCAGAAGGTGTACAAAAGCCTATTGCTGATTGGAAACATCTGTTCTCTGCTCTAATTGATCAATTCTTCTAATATTTTCTCCCTCAAAGGAGAATGGAAAGATTACGGTTAAGTCGTCAGGCGAAGTTTTTGAGGAAGGAAAGCATCAATGGCAGAACTTCATGGTGGCTCAATTCATAGGTAAAGTGCCAAATTACAACCATTTTGAGCGATTGGCTAGCATATTACGGGGAAAGGAGAGGCTCGTGTCACGGATCTAAGAAAGAGTCAT